AAAAAAAAAAAAAAAAGAAAAAAAGAGAGAGAGAGAGATGAAACAATTATCCAGATAAGTCGGCTATTAAAGACACTTGAGGTCATGCAGGTCAAGTTCATGGCATATGGCTCCGCGCTCTCCTCCTGACGTTTTGGCTCTGCCTGCTCTACAAGGGCAAAAGCACCATTTTCCTGACTCTGGAGAACACTGTACTTTCCAAATGACATTTCTCAAAATTGCATAATTCTGGCAAAAAATGTGTTCCACTTTCATGGAATATCACAGTGGAAACCATGATGCGGATAAACAAAGCATTGCCTTCCTATTTTCTGTAAGGTTTTCTCTTCTGCTCAGCCTGGTTTTATGAATATTTTATGACAATAAAGACAGGCTATCTAAAATGCCACTCACATGAGCTTTATATTTCTTCAATCACATCTGGCTTAACAGACTGAATAAATTTGAAACCACCCCAAGAGGAACAAGACAAGAAGTGATTCATATAAATCCCTTGATAAAATAAATCTATTTTGGTTATTAGAACTGTACATATAAAGATAAGGAAGATGTTAACATATCAAATAACTAAAAGATTAGATAATTTGATTTTCAGAGTTATAAAGGGCCTAGACACAATGATACCATGGTGGCCAAGAGCATACCTGGCACCCAAATCTTGGCTTCTGTAACCATTCTCAACTACAGTGAACCAGGGTACCCTAGAAAAATGGCTTGTTCTAATTCTGAGGAGGGAATAGTACAGTATGGGCCTGGGAAATCTTGTTTTACCAGAAAGCAAGGAATTGCTTATTCAAGACTAAGGGTGTCTTATAAAAAGGAGGCAGCTTGAAAGTGCTCTCACTGCCTGAAAATAGTTTTCACTTAGAATAATGAACACCAAATAACATTCCAGTGAACTTTAAAGAAAAAGAAAGTCCTTTATGCGTCTCGAAAACAAGAGTAATGACTCAAGGAAACAAAATATAGATTATCATTCATTGTTTTTGACAGCACACTTTATACCTGAAGAAAATGGAATAATGCACTTAAGATATTCAAGGAAAGAAAATGTGAACTAAGGATTTTATATACAACAAAACTGACGAGTATAAAAGGCACATACTGTTATCAATATGCAAGCACTCAGGGAATATTGTTCCCATGAGCTGTTCTTGAGGAATCTACTGGAGAGCTTCAGACAACAGAAATGACCAGAGAGATGTGGACATAAGGACTGGGGGTGAGCATTAAATATTTGTAGAATCAAGACTGAAGGGAGAGAGTATAGTAGGTAGATGCTATGTGTGCTGTCAGTGCGGTTGTACAAAGATAAAAATGGGGAGATAATAGATCATACAAAAAATTAACTCATTAAATGATTGGCATCTAAATGCAGCCTTGTTTACCTTGACTTGGTAGAGGAAGGATCAAAAGTAACCTTAGGAGGATTTTTAAGGGATATATTGTTTACCGCTTCTCGATCGAGAGCATCCTGGAAATCTTTAAGCCGTCTTTCCTCGTATTGTTTTTCTCTGAAAATTCTGTTTTGCCGTAAAACTTCCTTTTCGTGCCGAACGTGCATGAGCTGCACGGCGATCCTGCGCTCCTGCTGGGACTGTCGCATCAGCCGGTTGATCAGCTGCTCCTCCCGATAAGCCTCCTGGAAACACAATTGCGAGAGCCAATCATTTGTCAAGGTGATGTCCACATTTCCCGCTGGGCTGAGAAGCCTACACGTAAACCATGTGTAAAAGGCATAGTATTCACCTGTAGAATTGATATTCTGCTATTTGATTTAAATTTGAACATGGTAAAAATTGAGTTATAAAAATGAAAATTTCCACCGACAGTTGTATAATTTTGGTATCCAGAAACACATGGTTTTGCAACTCCTTATTCTAAATGAATTATTACTTCCTTTCAAATCGGATCAAAAAATAGATTAGGTAATTTTTTTCAAGGTTTTACAAACAAAGGGTGTAATTCTCCATTTATAAGCATGTTTTCAGAAACTTGGAATTGTGCTATATGCACTCTTAACATAAAAACTAGTTGTAAAAACAAATGCAGACATTGTCTGGCTGAGGACGGCAGATCTGCTTAGTTCCCAGGGGGGCCATCTCAGTTCCTACATGATAGACTGGGCAGATTGGAGAAGAGGCTAAGGGGAAATGACCTACAGTTTATCTTAGAAAATCTGAGTGGTTGTAACCTGAGAGAGAAACTAGATGCACTCTCTTGGCTCCCTTGGCTATTTTAAGAGAACCGAAGGGGAACCAGTGAACAGTGGAAGAAGCATCAAACTGGGAATCAGAGTCCCTTGCCAGTGCAGCCCCAGCTGTACCATTAACTGGCTTGCAGCCTTGGGCAAGTAACTCGGATTTTCCGGGCCTATTTCTTGACAGGGGAAATGGAGGGTTTGGGTAGAAGATGATCTCCAAGGCATCTTCAAGCTCTCTCACTCTGTCTAAACAGAGACACCATGTGGAAGGAGGCCATAATTAAAGTTCTCCAGGGAGAAGACTTAGAAGAACATCTAACTAAACACTGGGGTTGTCCATTTAACACTCAACAATCGAATTGTTCAGGAAGAAAATCTGGCCTCACTAGTGACACTGTTTCAGATTGTGGGAGAAATACTATATATATGTTCAGAATCAAGATACAAATAACAATAACACTCTGTGGAAAATACTAAAACTTGAACTTGGGGATTATATAAATATGTAGTTTAAATAAAATTCAATTGAAAGTAAATATGAAATTTTTTCTGTTATTAATATATCAGATAAGAATAAAATGATGAACAACTTTGAAACGTATGTCTCATCTAGTTAAAACATTCTAGAAGCTTTAATGTTAATCATTTGTTTCTTTTGAGGTCCAATAGTGGAGGTGAGGCAAAATGTAAAAATGGCCACAGATTCTTCAGTTTTCTTCATCCACAGCCTCCAATGTTATCCTGCAGATATTCCCATCAGAAAGTAGAATCTATTTCTTTACTCCTTAAATATGGGGTATGGGGTGACCTCTGACTTGAACTCACCAATGGGACATTAGAAAAATAAAACAAAACAAAACACTTGTGGTCTGACTTTCTTAATTCTCTTGCCACCCTTGCCACTGTCACCACAGTTTCTGCTCAGCTAGAAAATGAGAAACCATAGAGAGACACCAGCCTTCTCAGCTGGAACTAATGAAACTCTTCCAAGTCCGCCAGCCTCAGCCAACCCACCAGCTGACCAAAGACATCTGAGAGAAGCCAGGTAAGACCAAGAAAAGGCATTTATCTGAATCCAGCCCAAACTGCCTACCACATTTGGGGGTGGTTTGCGATAGTCACAGCCGTATTTTTAAAATGTAGAGCCTTGATTTATTATTCCAAGTGAATTCTATATTGAATTTGGAATATATTCTATATTTGTCTGTGTCTACACGGCAAGGCAATTTGGTTGTTGAGATGAGAGCTGGTCATTCTGACCCTGATGAAGAACTGGGTTGGTCAGATATGTCTTGGTTATTGCTTAGATGACAACACATTATGATTAAAAAGGAAAAGAAAAGAAATTACTGTTGAATGGCTGAGTCAATGCTATGTATATGAAGCTTCAGTATGAAGAACCATCAAGTGTGTTAAGACCTGCAACCAAAAGTTGAGTGGAAAAGATTCTTTTTTTGTTCCGTCGTACAAGTAGTTCATGTTTTAGAAACATACTTTTTCCCAAAGTTTCATTACAATTTGGGACACATTTTCTCATAGAAAAATATGTTACGGTTAAGTGTTTAGGGCAGCCTACAGATGCCTGTTTAACCCTTAACATAGATGAAATAGTCTACATCTGCAATAAATAAAATAGAAAATAAGAGAAGTCACATTTCTCTTTTCAGTATATTTAATCATATTTGGGGAAGACTTATAGATACACAATCCAAAACATGCTCAGTTTGATTGCCAAGACCTCTGCCTTTCCCATGAGTTGGAGCTAGGAGCTTGCTCTGGTGCATACCATTGCTTTAATTCTCCAAAGATGCCCGAGCGGCTCTCCTGGAGGAATGGAGCATGGCAGGAAAGACATGGAAGCTAAGTATTCTTCTAGTTAAGAGATGGGGGAGGTGTCTGGTGTTCAAATGTCAGTTCCAAGGAAATAATCCAGAAAAGGTTCTGGGAAGGTAGAGATAGGTGCGCTGGAATGAATCCCAAGAACAAGCTAAGATGCTGGCCAAATGATCACACTACCAGTTGGGAGTATGATTTTCACGGTCTGAAAATCTTCACTTAAATGCCTATGAAGTACTTAAACTCAACGAGTCCCAAACTAAACTCACTAAATCCCCTTTAGACCTGGTCCTCCCCCAGTATTTCCCCGTCTCCATTGATGACACTATAAACCTATGACTTGTTGACCTAAAATGTTAGGGTCATCCTAAGTCCATTCCTCTTGTCACCCTAATACAATTCTTGAAGAAGTAGTCTATTTTGCCTCCTATGTATGGTTTTAAATCACTGTCTACTCCATTCGGTACCTATTGACACTGCCCATTGACACCCCATAGTGGACAACATCAGCCCCTCCCCATAACTTGCCTTCCCCCCCCATCCCTCTCCAGAATCTATCCTCTAAAAAAGTTAAAGTGATCCTTCTAACCTTAAGTCTCATCATTTCATTCACATAATGACATCTCTTTATGGATAACTAGGCAAGATAGCAACCTGAGCACAGATCTCTGGCTCTCTCTTTATAAGCCCAACTAAAACAAGGGTCTGTAAACTCCAGGGGGAGACTGCAATGACTTGGAGGCCGGAGAAGATATTATGAGGCATTTCTGATAGATTCACTGCGAATGGAGCCAAATCAAAGTATCCAGGGCTGACACAAGATTCATGTCACGCTCCCGAGAAGCAGCAGATACTTGAGGGAAGCAGAGGAAATGCTAACCCTGACAAGTACCATTTTCTCTTTGGAGGAGAGGAGGATGGATGGGAAGGCAGACCATGGTGCACATTCCACCACTGTGGAGCAGAGGCACTTGGGTCAGCGGCACAGGGAGGCGGGGACACTTAATGGGAAGGAAGCAGTGGGAGCGGAGGTCCCTTGCTGCATGACCCAGCCTGGTTCTAGATGTAGCAGCTTCCCCAGACACAGAGAAGAAGTACCACAGAGAGGAGCTCCCTTGGTGGAAATATCATAAGTTGGAACACCGACTTCCTTCAATGTCTCTTAGGTTGCCGGATCCCTGAACAGATCTCCAGCTAGAGCCTTAAAAAATCAATGCTAAGAGCATCCTGGTTGAAAGTGAGGAAAGCTAGAAAGAATTCGTTCACCCCACTTTCTAGGTAAATATCAATCATGGATTATAAGCAGAAAAAGAGAAAGAAAAAACCTAGCAGCCAACACACAACTGTTTTGTAAAATAAATGAAAGTGTGTTCAAAATCCCATTGCTAGTTAATGAAACTTGAAATAGGTAGCTATTTTAAAATCTACTTTTTAATCATCTAATTTTCATAATTTGTCATTCTTTTAATTAAAAGAGTGACTATCAAGCTGACTGAGTAAAAATATATGTGAATCTGAAGTAAGAAATAACCTTTTAGTACAAAGATGGCAGAGTTATTCTCTGAATTTTTCACTAGGAAAGGAGTGACCGCATGGATAGACAGTTTCATACTTACATGAAGCTTGGATCTCCCTTCAGTTAACAGAACCACTGAGCAGATCAGATGTAGTCAGGTGAATAAAAGAAGTATCTTCAAATGGTCTCTCACATTTCAGTCATACAGATTTGTCCTATTTACTTTAACAACTCAAATCACCTTCCTCCCCAAGTGCATTCCTCTTACCATCTTCTGTATCACAGCAAATGACTCCTCCATCCACTCAGCTGCCCAAGCCAGACACTGGGCCCCTCATCCCGTGTTTTCACTCCCCCATGTCTAATGAATCAGTAAGTCCCACTGATTTTACTTCTAAAATAGCTCCTGAAGCCACTTCTCTCCCTCACTACTGCCACTCCCCTAAATTTAAACGGGGATAGTTTCTTACCTGGATTAGAGCAACAGTTATAACTTGGTTAGCCCTCATGTAATCTGTTCTTAAAACTAAAGCCAGAGCGATCTTTCTATAAGGCAAATCTAGCCTTGTCACTCTTGCTCCCCTTTGCACTCAGGATAAAGTCTCCTATTTGCCTCTTTATATCTTACAAGGCCCATTATGATTTGACCTCTGGTGACTCCTGCCTGATGACATTTAGTTTGCTAAAAGCCCTGAGCCTTTCCATATGATATTCTCTCTGGAGACACAGTTTGCCTTCCACCATTTTGGCTTCTGCTGGAAACTAACCCCCATCCCCACCCCCTAAAATCACCCCCACCTTCAATTAGCTAACTCTGACCCTTCCTCATGCTTCTGTGCTATCCCCCTCCAGAAATCATCTCTGAACCAGGCCAGGGCTGGACTTCCCTCCCATGTGTCACCTGTCCCTCCCATCACCCTCATGGCACCTCCACACTCCAATGTAGTTGCTTGTTTACAGATCCTCTCCCAAACAGCAAGGTCTGTGAGAGCAGATTTCCCATTATTCTTTTTCACTGTTGTATCCCGGGACTAGGACAAGTCCCCAGAGCACAGAGGAGGTTCAGTAAATATGTGTTCAACATAAGAGTTGATCAGTGATTCTCAATCTATAGCTGCATCAAATCACCTAGCGGGCCTGTTAACACGGATGATGGGACCTAATTATTCACATTCCTAAAAGTTTCCTGCTTATGCTCATGTTATTGGTCCAAGAATCACACTTTGAGAACCACTGGAGTAGATCAAACTGAGAGGACTAACTAATTTTCTATGTTTTCATTTAAAAGTTCCCTTTTTGATAGTATCAACTGATATAGAAAAAACATTTGAAACAATTCAGTATCCTTCCATGATAAAAATTCTCAACAAATTAGGTATAGAAGGAATGTAACTCAACATAATAAAGGTCATATATGATAAGCTCACAGTTAACATCATACCTAAAGGTATGATGCTAAAAGCTTTTAGATTTTCAGCATTCCTCTAAGATCAAAAATAAGACAAGTATGCCCACTCTCACCACTTCTATTGGTACTGGAAGTCCTAACCAGGGAAACTGGCAAGAAAGAGAAAGAAAAGGCATCCAAATCAGAAAGGAAGAGGTAAAACGTCTCTGTTTGCAGATGACATGATCTTACATATAGAAAACTCTAAAGACTGACTAAAAAAAAAATGTTAGAACCAAAAAACAAATTCAGTAGTTTCAGTATACAAAATAAACATATAAAAATCATTTGCATTCCTACACACTAAAAATGAACTATCTGAAATGAAATTAAGGAAACAATCCCATTTACAATAGCATCAAAAATAATAAAATATTTAACAATAAATTCAACCAAGGAGGCAAAAGATCCACACTGAAAACTATAAAACATTAATTGAAAGAACTGAAGAAGACACAAATAAATGGAAAAGATATCCCATGTTCCAGGATTGGAAGAATTAATAATGTTAAAATGCCCATAATACCTAGAGTGATCTACAGATTCAATGCAATTCCTATCAAAATTCCAATGGCGTTTTTTACAGAAATAGGAAAACAATACTAAAATTCATATGGAGCCACAAAAGACTTCAAACAGCCAAAGCAATCTTGAGTAAGAAGAACAGAACTGTAGGCATCACACTTCCTGATTTCAAAATACATTACAGGGATGCAGTATTCAAAACAGCATGGCACGGACATAAAAACAGACATATAGGGCTTCCCTGGTGGCGCAGTGGTTGAGAGTCCGCCTGCTGATGCAGGGGACGTGAGTTTGTGCCCCAGTCCAGGAGGATCCCACATGCCGCGGAGTGGCTAGGCCCGTAAGCCATGGCCACTGAGCCTGCACATCCAGAGCCTGTGCTCTGCAACGGGAGAGGCCACAACAGTGAGAGGCTTGCATACCAAAAAACAAAAACAAAAACAAAAACAAAAACAACAAAAAAACCCAGATATATAGACCAGTGAAAGAGAAGAAAGAGCCCAGAAATAAATCTACATATGTACAGTCAATTGATCTTCAATAAGGGTGCCAAGGCTATACAATGGGGAAAGGACAGTCTCTACAACAAATGGTGCTGGGAAAACTGGATATCCACATGCAGGAGAATGATACTGTACCCTTATCTCACACCATATATAAAAATCAATTTAAAATGGATTAGAGACTTACACATAAGACTTAAAACTATAAAACTACTAGAAGCAAATATAGGGAAAAACATTTCTTGGCACTAGTCTAGGCAATTATTTTTTTAACGTGACCCCAAAAGTACAGGCAACAAAAGTAAAAATAGACAAGTGGGATTTGATCTAGCTAAAAATTCTGCACAGAAAAGGAGACAATCGAAAGAGTGAAGAGGCAACCTACAAATGGGGGAAATTACTATTTGCGAACCATACATTTTGGTTAATATCCAAAATATGTAAGGAATTCAAATAACTCAATAGCCAAATACCAAATAACCCAATTTAACAAATGGTCAATGGACCTGAACAGACATTTCCCAAAAGAAGACAAACAAATGGCCAACGGGTATTTGAAAAGATGATCAACGTTACTAATCAACAGAGAAATGAAAATCCAAACCAAATAAGATATCACCTCATATCTGTTAGAATGGCTATTATCAAAAAATATAAAATAAAAGCAAGAATGTGGTGAAAAGGGAACCCTTGTAAACTGTTGGTGGGAATGTAAATTGGTACAGCCACTATGGAAAACTGGATAGTGTTTACTTGAAAAATTAGAAATAGAACTACCATATGACCCAGGAATCCTACTTCTGGTACATATCCAAAGGAAATGAAATCAGTATCTCAGAGAGATGTTTACACCCCCATGTTCGCTGCAGCGCTATTCACAGTGGCCATGATATAGAAACAACCTAAGTGTCCATTGATGGGTGAATGGATAAAGAAAATGTGAGACACAAACATACACACATATGTGTGTGTGTATATATGGAATACTGTCAGCCTTAAAAAAGAAGAAAATCCTGTCAGTTGTGACAACATGTTTGAACTTGGAGGACATTATGTTAAATGAAATAAGCCAGACATAGAAAGACAAATACTGCATGATCTCACTTAAATGTGGAATCTAAAAAAGTTGAACTTGTAAAAATAGATCTTAAGTATTCTCACCAAATACACACACAAAAATGGTAACTATTTTTTTTTTTTTTTGGTGAGGTGATGGGTGTGTTAATTAGTTTGATTATGGTAATCATTTCACAATGTATTCATATATCAAAACATCACATTATACATCTTAAATATATACAATTTTTATTTGTCAATTATACCTAATAAAACTGGGATGAAAAGTTTCCTTTTACCTCTAAGATATACATGGCTGACATAGATTTTAGATTCCTATTTTGTCAGTATTTTTTATTGTGGTAAAATATGCATAACATAAAATTTACCATTTCAATTCATTTTTAAGTGTACAATTCAATGTACAATTAAGTAAATTCACAAGGCTGTATAACCATTACCAGATTTTAGATTCTTTAGTAAATGTTTTATGTAGATTTGTTTTCTGAATGTTATTTGCTATTATGATGTGAGGCTGTGACATTGATTCAGAGTAGCACATAATACATACGTAAGATACACATGTGTGTATAAAAGACTACATTTTGTAAAATCTTCCAGAACTATTATTCAATCAACAATGAAATATCTTACCTCTTGTGCTTCGTGGGCTATTAACTGGTCCATCAAGAGTCTCCGCCGTCTTTTCTCCCTTTGCTCTCGTGCAAAAGCATCTTCTTCGAGGCGCTTCTGGATTTTTTTAATGTAGTCATCATCCGAGTAAGTGTTTAACAAATCAGCGGTTGTCTGGCCTGTTGTATCTAAAGAAGTCTTGGATGCACTAAGGACAATAGTTTTTATTTAAATTTTAAAAAATAACTCAATCACACACCACTACTTGTGACTGTGGGGGAAGACCTCTGGAGATGGCTCCCTTGAGTGCTCTGTTCATTTACTAATACAAGTATCGAAGCAAATATTAGAACTTCAGTGTGGGATCCACAGCTTATCAACAGATTCCGTTTGCCTCACCCCATTTCTGGACTCTGTATCTGTGAGGTCCTTAGCATAGCCTTCTTTCTAGGCCTGGCGCCTACTTACTTACTCTTTTACTTCTCATGACCTTCACTGTGCCCAGAGATTCTGGATTTCTCTCCCTCTTCTTCCTGCTGGCTCTAGGCCTTCTGCCTCCCCTGCTTGGAGTCAAGAGTGAGGCAATATTGATAACCCAAGTGTCAGGGAAGGCATATTTCTACAAGAGTCGGCCAGGTACACTAATGTGAGGACCCTGAGAGTACCTCCATGGATGGTTCTGTCCACTACAACTCTCCTCTCACCTATGTGAATGCAAGTTGCTCTATGAGCTCCCGGTAACTTTCTGACTCCTTAGGGCAGCAGCCCAGCTCTTACCAGAAGCTCAGCAGTGGATAGTTGACTTGCACCACGGGTCTGACCTAGCCTCTTGCCCAAGTCCTGGAGACCCAAGTGAGAAGATCTACCTTGGGGCTCTTGTCCTACCTCATGTCCAGAACTCACAGATCAGGAAGAGTTGGTGGTCTCACCAACAGAAAGCAAACACACTCAATTTAGTGAGGCAAATGGTGGCTTAGTACAGAATTTATAGATTCATTCAAAAGTTGCCTTTAAAAGTAAAAGATACATTTTTATGTACCTAAGGATCAAATGATCAGTTCTCATCGGCATACTCTTTAAAAAATAAAAAGAATACAACAGTACAATGGTATAAGATAAAACGTTACTTGCCAAGAAATAATGACTTTTAGTATTATGAATAATTATTATTCTTAATGTCATAAGTTATTGATGTGTTCAGTTTAAAATAAAACTTATAATCTTATTCAAAAGACAAGGACACATTATTATGGTATGCAGGGATTAAACAGTCATTAATTCTCATATAGACAGAAGTGTTCTTATAAAAGCATAGCTAATTCATGTTTAATGAATAATCACACGTGTTGTTTTTAATCTGAGGCCATGCAGTTTCATTAAATCAAACATCAAAATCATTTACATAGTTGAATTAAAATTCTTAAATTATAATTAGTTCTGTTTAATAATCACATATTTACGGTACGGATATTTTATCATAGTTCATTATTTGTACATTTGCCTCTTCCAGTTGAACTCTGAGCGCAGAAGAAAAGTATCCTAGTTTACTCTCCTGTGTACCTGTGCCTAATAGTCCTGACATGTAGCTAATGTCTGCTAAATTTCAAATAATATGCTAAGAAGCACTATACAAGTGTAATATAACTTAAAAAATCACACATTGAAATTCTGGTTATTTTATCAGCAGGGGCTCAACCTTCGATTGTATTCTGTCACTGAGAGTCACTGAGCAGAAATTGTGTAGCTAACAAAGCCTCAGTAAGATCAAAGACAAATTTTAACCCTATTTATTTATTAAGATTTAGTGCAATTAAGTATTTATGAAAATTGTGTGGCATAACTGTTTCAGATCCTTCATCAAAATCCTTACTATATTTTTACTTAAATGTGCTGTTTAAAAGATTTTGCCTCAGATTGAGCATGGGTTAATAGCTCTCTCAACACTGTATTTATGTCACCAACAATACACTTAAGATACTGGTTCTCCTTTATTCATCAATCAGTCTGTCCAACCATCCATACATATACCCATCTGCTGTCTTATGCCAATTAAAGCCTGAAGAAAGCTATGTGATATTTACATGAATAAATATTCATTTTACTGAGATGTGGGTTTCTTGAGGGCAATAATTATGTTTTCTTTATATCTGTTTGCTTGCCAGGCCTCCATAGAGTTAATCATTGTACATGTATGAATTATTAGTGATAGGAACCTTGGCCAAATTTGTGTATATATATAAGCAATTGCTAGAAGGAGACTAAGGTAAATCTGTGAATCCAAATGTCAGATTACAGCAGTCAACAGCCTCAGCTAAAGAAACAAATAGGAGATGCCATTTATTATTTGTCTTAAAAAATAAAGAAATAGTTCATGTGGGGAAAAAGCAGCAGTGGTTGTTCTTGCATTGCTCTCACTGAGACATCATTTCATTATTTCACAAAAGAGAAAAGATAGACTTTGAAGTGACATCCCTGGGAAAGTCTTTCAAAGGCAGGCTGTGAAAGGGACAGCTGTAGAAATTGCTCCTAAGGTCAACCCAAGAGGTGATTTTAGTGCTCTCTGTCATCAAGTAATGTGAAGTTTCTGGAAAAGCCCAGAACATGCTTGATTCTAAGCTAAGGATTCAGAATGAACCAAAGAAGCAGTGGTCAATAACAGAGATTAAGAATGGCCAAATTGTACCATAGCTTTTTTTTCTTTAAAAATTTGCTCTAGACCAGCGCTTCTCAACATTTTTTATTTGGGGGGTCCATCAGAAAAAATGTCCCTTGTGAAGTGTACTGGAAGGGGTTTGGAGTCACAGATGGGGCTGCTCACAGCCACAGGTGACTGGTCCAGGGACTCTAGCTGCCCCAGGTCCTACCCTGCTACTCTGAGAAGTGAGGATGTCCATATCTCATGGGCCTGCAGGGGTAAATCTCTGGCAAGACCAAGTGGAGGCTTCTGCAGAGAAAGGACTTGTGATAGACACTGCTATTTCCCTCCCTTTTCCCTGGAAACAGAGCCACGGTTTTATTCAGGAAAACAACTTACCCAGCTAAAGTCTACAATTCCCAGCCTCCCATTCTGCTAGGTATGGCCATGTGACTGAATTCTGACTAATAAGGCATAAGCATAAATGTTATATGGGGCTTCTCGGAAGGCTCGTATAAGGAGCGATTTCAGATTGGATGTCCACTTTTTGCCTCCCCTCCTTCCTGATATTGGAACGTGGGCCAAATGGCCGGAGCCTCAGAAGCTATCTCTTATTTGCGAATGTGACTTTGAAGACAGAAACCACACATCAGGACTGTGGAACTAAAAGGAAGGCTCAGTCCTTTTTGACCTTGGAGCAGCAACACATGCCCTGGGCTGCTTACCTTCTGATTTCTATTAATATTATAGGAGAGAGAAGTAAATATCCATCTAATTTAACCCACTCTGGTTTCGGGGTTTCTAAGCTAACTGATAGAGAGGCCTAGGGTTCAGGTTGGGTTGGGAAGGCAATGAGGATCAGGGTGAGTGTTTGTACAGGAAGGATCTTTAAAAGATTGAACCACAGACAGGGCTAGGACACTAATGAATCAAAATGGATGCTGGTACAGGGATTGGGAGATGCTGTTGTGCTTGGTGTTGATTCTGGTTGCTAAACTGTGTGGGAATCGAGGCGTCCCAAGAAAGGGGTGGGCTGCAGGGGCTGCAGAGAATACCATTCACGAAAAGCAACAGAATGTTTCAATATTTTAAGATAGTCATTCTGGTGGACACCGTCTGTTTATGTCTCCGGAGCACGTGGCTGGTGAGATGAGTGAAAGAGTTGGAAGAAGTGGAGTGGTTTCATGGGCCAAGGTCAAGGGTGGGCGTGGCTGGGGTCAGGTGGCAGCTGCATGGGGGAGTAGGCTTGGGCTGTGGTTATTTTAGGAGTGAGGTGAGCACTGATGAATATGGGGAGGGCTCAGAGTAGGACATCAGGAGTTTCTGCAGAGGGAAGGGGGAAAGGCAATTAATGTATACATTCTTCATTCTGCTTCACTTTCCTTTCACACTTGACTTCCTCACCACTCTTCCTTCTAGCTCGTTCTTATTCCTCCTCATTTGACTCTATTCCCTCTCCTCAAAAATATTAATATGGAACTGAACTATATAATTCATGTATATTTTTCTTCTTTAAGAGATTTATTTCCTATTCTATAAAACATAAAGCAGTAGAGTTTAGATAGTTTCCATGAAAAAAGTGCAGAGAAATTCAAGCTGTTCGTATATGTGTAGTCCCTAATCAATTATTTTCCGTGAGTCAATGACCCCCTAATAGGAAACAAAAGGGGAGAAGATCTTTATCTTTAGGAAAAAGAAGCCCATTAACCAGGCACTTTCTGTAAAGAACTCATTGAACTGTTTTAGTGACATTCAGTCAACAAACTCATTCAACAACTTTTTACTGCTGGTCCCTGTGCTAAATGCTGAGGATGCAACACGACAGCAACCAAACTAGAGTCTAATAATGGCTTTTTTGTGACAAATGTAAATTAAGAGTAACTTGAAAAAATGTTAGTGAGTGTTTAAAAAATGTGTGTGAACTTACAAGGGTAAGTATAACATAGAAAAATAAATTAACCTCACATCTCATAGTAGCCACTTTCCCTTTTGATTTCACAAAAATTGTTAATGAACAACTAATCTGAATTTTAGCTCATTTATCTTCCTTAATATACACTCTTAATGAAGATCCTACAAGGTGAAAATATCTTTGGAACAGCTATTTCAGGTAAATGATTTCTAAATATTCAAAAGTTAGAGTAGAACAGAATGCAGTTTTGTGATTACTGAGATAATTTGCATCCCACCTTTCTTTTGCTTGGAGATCCTTTTTTATTAATGCTTCAAACTTCTTAATCTCATTGGCCACATCCTTTAAAGGAAATTCATTATCAGTTTTTCACCTCTAAGCAAACATTGAAAATTTTCATTTACCACATTCATTCAAACTAATAAAGTGACATGCATTACTAATTCAAGCTAATTAGGAAGCAAGATCTGAAAAGCTACATTCTAGAATATTTTCCTATTCTGATTTGTTACTTTTAGACTAGGCTAAATATATCTAAAAGAAGGTGAAAATTGCCTAACCTGAATCATTCAGTTCACAAGTCTAGCTCTGACAGTACATCAAAGGGCATTTAATGAGAATAAAGATTATCAAACAGTCAGGACATGCATTGTTAATTACAATTCTTTTAAATGAGAATAAGCATGTTTTTGGACATAAATATTTCTTTTTCCTTTTTTCTTTTTTTTTTGCGGTACGCAGGCCTCTCACTGCTGTGGCCTCTCCCGTTGCGGAGCACAGACTCTGGATGCGCAGGCTCAGTGGCCATGGTTCCCGGGCCCAGCCGCTCCGCGGCGTGTGGGATCCTCCCGGACTGGGGCACGAACCCGTGTCCCCTCTGTCGGCAGGCGGACTCTCAACCACTGCGCCACCAGGGAAGCCCTGACATAAATATTTCTTTAAAATCATCTTGAGTGTTTTAAACATTTAAGGTTGTGCAACCTTACTTACACTATTAATTTGCTCTCTGAAAATTAATTTTAGCTAATCCTCTGCCTACTTCAAATCCTTATTAATAAGTTTTAATCAACTCAGGGAAACATGAGAATTAAATACTTTTACTAAAATGGGGTCAGATGAAAAGCCTCTGTGGGTAGTACTTTTTAGAATCTAACTATAGGATTTTTTAATATTAAAAAAATGTGAATTAATATAAAATGCAATGGATTTAGAAATCAGAGAGACCTCTCAATCTCTGCTTTAACAGCATTGTGTACTTGGGTAAAACATGTCAGTTTTCTGAGTCTCATTTTCCTTATCTAAAAAATGGGGAAAATAATACCCTACTTAGAGAATTATTTACAAATTAAAGATGATGTGAAGTGCCCAACCCACAACCTGGCATATAGCAGATGATCAATAAATGGTAGTCATTAATCTTCTTTCTTAAGGGAGAGAATATCCCTAACAATCATTATAGTAGTATACAGTGTAGATTGCAGGAATTATTATCAAAATGTTGTATTGTTCCCTTGTGAAACATAATGAGATTATATCCTACTGGAATGATTGACAGCTGGTATGGTCTAGTAAAATATCAATAGTGTAAGTATCTTAAATTTAAATATAATGAGAGCAAGCAAGTTGCTTAACATTTCTAGGATTCACAGAAAGACAGTGCAGCTTGGGGAGGAGGTATTGAGGAAAAGCAAATAGTAGGAATGGCACATGCATGGTATGGGTACCTGGACTGGCCCCTGTTGTACCCATGGGTATCATGACCCATTACAACAGCACCCAGTCTGGCATAGTTTGTTAGTAACCACAGAATCCACAACACAGGAGCCACACAGGTTCTGTCATTTAATAGAATTTGCCATCTCTGTCCTAAAGCTACATTCTCTGTTTCTGAACAAATAGCTATAAAATGGATTGGATATGCATATGGTGGAGGAGTTTTAAATGAGAAGGGACAATACCAGAAGTAATCTGAAAAGGAAGTAGGGAGTTCAGGGAACTCTCTATATGTTTTAGGGAAAG